TCAGTTACTGAAATATTTTTGTAGTTTATCTGCAGACCAGGTTTAGGGATAAAATTCAAACATTCAAGCATTCAAAGGAATGTTGAGACATATTTGATCCTGAGAAGTATGCTCATGCTTTATTTTATATTTTTCTTCCACAAATAGGATGTGGTGTAAAATCATCATCCCATAAAAACTGTAAGTTTTAAAAGCAGTCTCTAAAGGCCGGGAATAGTATTTGCTGGAAATTGTGTGTCTCCAATAGTACTTTGTACACTTTTTGAAAATCTGCCATTATATATGACAGCTTTCTTGGGCATTTTGCTTTTAAAACACTACATTTTTTTTATTCTGAAGATGTAATGTGTTTTGTCATTGTGTTCCATTCACTCATTTTTCAGCGTTATAGACCATGCATACTGGGCATACTTCTGGTCTCATTCTCACCCAGAAAATTCTGTCGTCACTAGATTTGCATGGGTGTAAATTAAACCAGAACTTGGCAGGAAATGCTTATGATTATATTTGGCAGAGGCAGCAGGCTGCAACTTTATTAACATAATTAACAAACACACCCAACAGGCCAAAGTAATCTAGTGACAGAAGAGGAAGGTCTTTGTAGAAAAGGATCATTCACACTTTTGGTGTTCTGCTTCTTGTTCTTGAGTTCCTACTAAGGCTTGGAGAGCTTTCAATTGAGTTGTAATTCAAATTCATGCGGTTCCTACAAGACACCTTGAGCAGTCTTTTGCTGATGAGTCTATAGGAACTGTCAGCAGTACTGAGATTACTTCAGAACCATGATGTTGAATTGAACTTTACTTTCTGATGTTTTGCATTTTGAATTAAATTGTTGGACAAGATTAATTGCATGCAGTAAGAGATTTAAATGAATAGCTTTGTAAAGCATTAAAGTTCTAAGTGTGTCACATGGGAAAAAAGCTGTAAGGTTTAAATGAATAAGTGTATTTAATGCATAAAATGCCTAGGCTAATTTTTTAATTCCTTTACTAACATCTTTTATTGAAAAAAACATACTTTATTCATCCATCTTAGTTATACTGCTGTGGTTGTGGTAATTTAATATTCTTGCTCTTTGCTAATCTTCTGGTTCAACAGAAGTAAACAATAGGTTTCATAAATTAAAAATATGCTCTTCAGAACATGCTTTTAAAGATAAAAAACAAGGCTGTAAACATTTATGACTGAAACAAACTGGATTGTTCAAATACTGCCATGATGTATCATGTATATCAATATGGCACTGATATCAGTTAGAATGCAAACAAGGTTTTAAATGATGTGCCCCTTCATTTCAGCTGGAGAATCCGCTTTACACCATCTGCCTATCAGATGGTTAGGAACCAGGACTGCGTATTAATGCCACATGTTCGATTTTCTTTCCTCTTGTAATGGTTAGATTCATATTGCTAATAGCTGTGCATGAGCACTGTCGATGAAAGTTGTGTGTCTATGGAGTGATGAGATATTTATAAAGCTGCCTGTCTCACTGCATAATCAGCAGGAAGAATGCCAGACATAAACAACTTATCAATTTCAGAATATTAATGACAGCCAGCACTGACTTTAATCCATTGAATATTTTGGCCTGGACACCTTTTAACTGTCCAGATAAATTTTTGTAAAGAATAAAAAGTATCTAAGTGGCTGTTCAGTGTGATTCTTATTCTGTCTTCCATTTCAGTTGCCTTTATAGATGACTTATCTTGTATTGATGATAAAATTTCTGTAATGAAAAACATACACCTTGGAAGTTCTGTGGCTACTTGCTGTAAGAGAGAAGTGATACTAATTAATGTTTAGGTCAAAGGGCTTTTTCAAACAACCAGTTTAAGAAATAATTGCAAGTATTTACCCAAGCACATGTGAACTTTAAAGTTTATAATTTTAAAATATACATACAGACAAATACAGATTTTACATAGCATCTTATTAATCTCTTGTATTTGTGTTATATATTATGGCCTCTTTTGGTGAAACAGGTAGGGCAATGTGCTAGCAAGAAATTTTTGCTCTGTTTCATTGTACAGTGCACCTTTGATTGTAATGTTGTAATGCCAGGGGCTCTGGTGACTGGTTTGGACCTTTCTTGCCATTCGCTTTGCTGTATTATGGCAGTGGAATGAGAGCAAAAAATTATCAGTAAGGCAAAACTGCTGTAAGGTAGAATTGCCATGATTAAGCTACATTTCTTTGGATTATTCCATACTCAATCCCTTTCCCACCCCCACTTGTGCTTGTATAAAAGAGACATTTCAGATTCTTACAGTTTAAATTAATTGCTGTGTGGCAAAGCAATCATTTCAATTACTTACGCAAGTGTATGAGAGTCGGAATAAAATTCAAAATTTAGTTTCTACTTTTTTAAAATTATCATTTATTTTTGCAACCACTGTTTTGAAAAAAGTATTACAGATCTAAGCTGTGTTTTATTTTCCTAGTCCGTATCCAAAGGCTATGGTTTCCTCTACAGAGAAACACTACAGCCTACTTCAGAGAAAAGGATAAAATGCATACATTTTTGCAAATTTTATAGCAAAGGAGAGAGTGAATTTTAGCAGTTCTGCAGTGGGAAAAATAATATTTCTCAGTGAAAAACTATTCTTCCAGATAAGCTCACAAGTCCAATGGATTATCTGTTTAATATGGTGCTTATACTAATACATGGAATTTCTTAACAACTGGTCTTAGAGTGCAGTCATAACCAAAAGTTTGAGGCCTACTGTTGTAATTATTGGTGTTATATATTGGTATTTGGATATTTCTCTACAGGTTTGTTCTTTAAATATGCTAGTTTTAGCTTGTGAGTGGTGTATATAGAAAAAAAGGAAGCATAGGATATTGTATTGTTTAATGAACACAGGATGCAAACCCAGGTTCAGAGGTGCACTATCCCTTTCTTGGTGGCCTAATTTAGGGACTGTAACCAAATCTGTATAATGTATAACTTCATATCCTTCCTCTGAGATAAAAATATCATTGGAAGTAATCCATGTCATTGTCAATATCTTCTTAAAGATCAGAACACACACATTATGTAATGGAAGCAGAAACTAAAATAAAATGAAGTTTATCCACGTTCTGATTTTTTTTAATTATTATTTTTGATTTTTTGTTTTACTTTAGTACTTCTCCCTGAAATAGCAGTTTTCTAAATAATATTGATCTGCCGGTGCAGAATGTAATTATCACATACTTGGTAATTCTTATTGCACTTGAAGGTGTTGGAAGTCTGTTTATGAGACTGGAGTTGTTTGCTAATGCTTATGCAGCCATGCAGAGAAATTAGGGAAAGCGACCTTGAGTTAAGACATCATATATTAAAAGGTACTGTTCATGCCACCGTGTTTTCTCCATGATGGTGGAGATTCTCTCAAGGTCTGTTCACCTTCTGCTTTCTCCCCATTGAGTGGCCTTCTTTCTCTCCCCACTGCTAGCTGGCAATAGTGAACTTATTATTCATTTAAGAAGGCAAAAGAGACAACAGGAGGATCTGGGTGGCAATAATAATAGAAATATTTACCTCATCAACTTGGGATTATTTGCTTATTGGGTCCTTCCGTCTAAAGTGCACTCTTCCTATGCTGAGCAGAAGTCTAGGCCCAGTATTAAGTAATGGAATTAATTTCTCTTGAGATATGCAACACACTTCACACCTCCTAGGCTAGCTGAAAAACAGAGAAGCAGACTCCTTTGAACTAATTAATGTGAGATTTTTGAAGCTGTCTCTCCTGTCAGGGCAAGAATCTTGGTTCCAAATGTCTCAGGGTCTCATACTCATGTGACATCACAGGTTGAGGGTATATGTTGGTAGCTTTACTGCATAACACTTACATGGTGGAGTGCCTCCTCTTTAATGTCTTGCATTTAATTTTCCTTAATTTTCATCTCTACTTCCTTGCTTAATCATGCAGGATAAGCAGAAAGTGGAGATCTTTTCCTGCATAGCTCTTTTGAAGTTTTGACACTGACTACTCTCCATCATCACCTAGGCTTGGGCAAAGCGATGGGAGAGAGAAGAAGCACTGACTGGAGACAGCAGACAAATTATTCTGCCTCAAGGAAGAAAGCAAAAAAATTAAAACATTGCATAAAAACTGTAGCTTGTTTTTAGTTTTGAAGGCATTACTGGAAATTTTCTGTTAATTGCTCTAGACAGAGAAGACTTTTCTCGTTTTTGGAAAACATTTTTGTGTATGGATGGATGGAAGAAATGTGGTTTGGTAGGAAAAGCACTTGAAGTACCTGATGATGGCTTTAGGTTAGGGATTAAATAGGTTTAAGAGATTGCATTCTTGTTGATAAATGACATAATGCCTTGAAGTTTTTGGAAAGCAAAGTTCTACCAAGGTTCTACAAACCTTGTAGTTACCTCAAGGTTCTGCTTAACTAACCCTTCTTCTAAAAATGCTTCTTATGAGGGCCCACATCTCTAGATGTTATGTGGGAAATAGGAAATAAATGTCTATATTTTTTCATCTGTTATTCATAAATATGAATTATAGACTTGTGTTTTCTTTTTCTTTTCTTTCTATTTAACATGGTAAAAAAAAAACACTTTTTTTTTTTTAAAAAAAACAAATTTAAAAACAATTTAAAACAAATTTAAAAGGTTTTTTTCTAGGTGTGGTTTAGTGGGTGTTCACCTGTTCTTAATCAGACATTTTTAGACCATTTAGACAAGTTAAATTTCATTTCTGAGAGCATATATTTATAGATACAATTAGTTTTGACTGTGTTCTAACTGCAGTTTCTGAACACCGAGTAAAGATTCAGGTGGATGCAGTATGTTTAGAAGTAACTATCTAAATAGGATGTGTAGCATTTGATTTGAAAAAAATTGATAACCTTCAAATGAAACGAGTGGAATGGTGAACACTGCAGTATTCTCTGTTTGCTGTATAGGCAGCGTGAAGGAAAAGTAGCGGTCTTAATCCCTACAATAATGATGAATCATAGAATAATGTGTATTAAATGTTATTCATACTTCTTTGCAGGCTTGACAGCAGCAGCTGCAGCAGCAGCAGCTGCCACCAATGCTGCCATAGCAGAAGCAATGAAAGTGAAAAAAATTAAATTGGAAGCTATGTCCAACTACCATGCAAATAATAACCAGCATGGAGCAGACTCTGAAAATGGAGATCTGAATTCAAGTGTTGGTAAGTCTCAGATACAGCATTATTATTTATACATAACACTCAAGAATTTTATTAAAATGGTGATCCTCTTGGCCCTCCTTCTGAAAACTTTGATTTGGTGTAAAGTGTTGCATATTAGTTTTCCTTTTTTTTTGTTTTGTTTTGTTTTGTGTATGACCTTTACACCCATGTTCAGCATTGTTACTATTACAAAAACATTCTTTCCTTTACAGGTTACTTTTGCAGACTTCAGTTAATATTTTCCATGAAGGAAAGTGGTTTGATTGCTTAGAGTTCATTTGTCAAAGTACAGGTGGGGTGACAGATGATGGTGTCAAAATGAAATTTAACAATGTCTCCTGCTCAGTGTGCTGGGTATCGACTTTAGGTAATTCAGAACACAAGCCTGAAAGGAAAATATTTCATACTTTCATGTGCCCTGTGACAAAAGGAAAACATACATACACAATAAATTATTGCCATGCTCTGCAGTTCCTATCATATTTTATTTTAATAAAAACATTCTTAAAATGTAGTTAACAGGGTTTTCCATTTCTTAAGCAGCCATCAGCAACTCATGTTCTTTCTCAGAAAGAATTGTTTCAGTATACTTTATTCATTTGTTTGGACGATTTGTTTTGCTAACGCATACTTCAAAGCTAGGGTAACTTTTTGTTGTTTTTGATTAAATCTTTAATCATCTGTGTGTGTCTGCTGTAAAAGGTTTTGTTATGCCATTTCATTGTATTGGTTCCTTTTATCATGTTGAGACAGTATTAACTCAGCAACAGAAATTCAATGACAGAGAGGTACGTTCAGGAGACTGGAGGCAAGATTGGTGTATGTTGGAATAAAATGGCTGAAAAAAGGAGTTCTAGGGTTTTTTTGTTTGTTTGTTTGTTTTTTGTTTTTTGGTTTTTTTTGCTCTTTTGTTAAATTCTGGTTAGCTTTTCATATTACATCTCTTAAGTACAACTGAAATGAGTCTTAATTAGTTATGTACTTCTCTCAATATAAGTAAATATATTCATGAACTGTAATTCTGTACAATTCAGTAGCATTAGTAGGCTGTTATTAAGAAGTAATGTGGCAGTACAAAGAATCAGTTCACCAAGGAATGCTATTTTAATTATCAACAATATGCATGCAAGATCGCATGAAGTGAAAACCAGATTTTTGTTTTCCTTTATAGAAATCTTCTAAAATGCTTCTGTGATAAAACGATCTTAAATGATTGTGATACTACTTGGTTATTAACACATGCAATCAGTATAATATTACTGGGAAAGTTATCCTCTCGAAAAGAAGAGGACAGTGTGGAAACGTTGAAGATCAGGCGGGTGTCTTTAAAATCTGGAAGGGGTGTGGATATAAACAAATAAAATGAAAGGGCCAGGTAGACCCTGAGATGCTGAAGGAACAGGAAAATAATGAGGAGTGAAAAGTGTAAATGCAAAATTCAAGGGAAAGAGCCTGAACTCGAAGCTAGTTTAGATTTGAATTTCAGTGCAAAAAAAAATGCTCAAATTTTGAGTTAGAGAACTGTTGCTTTGCTTGGCAGTACTAGCGATAAACCAGTTGCCTATTTATGGAAATAGGGAAGTCTGCAAATAATGAACGTGTAAGCTGCATGAAGTTGTGAGATTTGTAGAAGGAATAGCTGAATTCCATCTGAATAAAAATAATTAAGAACCCATCTTAAAATCATTGTTTGAGACCTGATTTATATAGTTGATCTGCTCTTGCACATACTGCCTATTTAAAATGTATTCAAGCTATTTTAGTAGGACAAAGTAAGTGAAGTAACATTATTGTCATTGTCAGAATTCCTTTTCAGCCCCTTAACTTACTTGTTAACTTCACTTAATTTCCCTATTTAACATAATGAAGAATTTAGTTCATTTTGTTCTGAAAAAATAAAATAGGTCTTCTGAATACATTGAATAGCATTCAGTTGTCTCTATTCCATGAGCAGTGCATCTGGAAATATAGCCTGCTTGCTTGTGCGTAGAGTTTTGAAGTATACTCTTCCTACAGAGATTTTCTCAAAAATGATTTGTATTTATTTTTTCCTGCATAGTGGATCCTGTCTAGTGTCCAGGGTCAGTTATGCCTATGGAATCAGAAAAGTGATGATTGGTAATAATGATGCCAGAATGTTATTAGGTTCATTAAGTCTCTATTTGACATTTGCATTACTGAAAATCAGCATATTGTATTATCTTGACAGGAACTCGTATTTCAGAAGTGTTGCATGTTAGGGGTATACATGTGAGTGGATTGTTTTTTTTTTTTCTTCACTTTTTTTTCAGATGTTTATGGTTTTTCAATTAAATATTATCAAATCAATATATCATTAACAATTTAAATTATGACTTAATAAGAATAAATTTGAAACTTCTGAACATTGACAGGAGAAAGGAGCAAAACAGAAGAAAGTAATCAGTTATTTGTTTATGTTTTAAATGATGTTATGCACCAGACCAAACTAGAAACAAACAAACAAAAAAACATTCTAAAAGCTAAATTTACAATTTATCCCACATGTAACAGGCACTATGGTATGTTAATTGCATGGATTGAACATGCAATCATTTTTGGACTTTCGTCATATATGTAAAAGAGGAAAAATAAAATATGGGCTCTGGAGTCAAATTGCCAGGTTTATCACAGATTTGTTTACTTCTGAATTGTCTTGCTTTTTGGTTTTAATCAGATGCTTAATGTGACTTACAGAAGTCATTTTTGTAAATGAACATTGTATAATTACACAGAACACTACACAAATTTATTAACTTGATCTTTTGAAGCAGTGGCCAAAAGGTTAGTGAGTGAAGGGAGTTAAAGGAAACCAATGATACTAACAAGTAATTATTTTATATCTCTCAGTTTTGCATGGTAACCTTGAGCTTGCATCCTCCCACCAGAATTACCATTTCAGAAGGGAAAAGAAAGGATAGAAAAAAAAAAATTACAGAGGAATCAGAGTGAGGTATTAACACACTGAGTAAAATATATGGCTGCAACGCCTTTCTCCCCCATCCACAATCAATTGGATTCTTTTAGTTTAATATTTACTTGCTAAGATGAGATGCTAGTCTGCATGGTGATAAACAGTCTGCTACTGGCATCTGAAGGTGACCTGTCAGTTCATATGGACAAATCTCCTGCTTACTGAAATGTACAAAATAAATCATTAAAGCAGGCAGGTGCTCATTCCCAGATTTAAATCACCATAGATTTATGATTTGAATTAATGCTTCATTTGGTCATAGAAATAGATGCTGAGACAAATGATATGCAGTGGTTGGGGCTTCCATACTGTAGCCATCCTAATATTGATTACTGCGATGTCTTTGCAATCTCTTGTTTATATCAAGTACTGTCTTGTGACAGCTTGGCTGATATGAGCTACATTGCAGATAAGGAGGAAAAATGTCCTGGGTTCTCTTTAGTGGCAATTCTACATACAATAGGCAGGATAGATAAATTAATGTTTTCTTGTTTAAAAAATGAATTCCGTATGGCATCAAACAAAATGCATTGTTTCTAAGATTGTGTTGTGGTTTTGGTTTTAATTTCAGAGTTAAAACAAAGAGAGTGACAAGGTCAAACTTTAAATTTCATTTAAGAGGTTCTGCTCTTTGTCATATTAACATCTTCCAATATTATTAGGATCAGTCGCATATTTACCATCTCATACTCCAAAGTTAACGATAGGTAGAGCTCCTCAATTATTTCCTTGCTGCTTAAGTACTTACTGCCCTGCAATTGTACTTTATTAACCTGCAGCCACAAAAGATAGAAGCCTTTAAATGTAAATGTGTTTAAAGCTCTTTCTGTGAGCTAGGCTTTGCATTCTGCAACATGGTAGGAAGTGAAGAACAGTCTATACTTCCCAGACATTTTATATAATGAATATACTGTGCGTACTGTTTAGGGAATACTCCAAGGATTTGTAAAGGCCTTTGCCACTTGCTAAAATCTGACTCATAAAACTCGTAAACAACTATCAACAATAGTAAATTACTTGCTTAGTAGGAAATGAGTTCATATCTATTCAAAATGTGATCACAAAACAGATGTCCTAAGAAAATGTCATTGTTTAAATTACATTCATACAAAAAAAAAAAAAAAAAAAAAGCTATTATTTCTTCAAGGAAGTGAAGCAATTGTGAAGACTTTGGTGTTCTCAGTTTCTAAACACAGTTAGGAAATGCAAAGCAAGATTTTACACTTGGCTAGCATGTTAATCCATAAACAACCACCAAATGTGCTGAAATTTAAGAGGTTTTCTTGTTAGGTTTCCTGTTCACCCGCCTTGCCGTGTAATATTTAAAATTATGAGACGCGTCAAGATTTCCTGAGATGTGTTGTTCATAAGTAATGATGATTACTTGCTTGTTTTTTGTTTTGTTTTTTTTTTTTTTAATCCAGAATCAGAGATAAAATGATTTAAGTTAAATTATTTTTTTCTCCAGTGACCTTGCCCAATAATAGAACAGTACAACATGCAGTCATTTCCTTTTTCTAAACACACATGTCTATTTTGAAGGAAAGAATTACTTTTATGGTTTCAGGAAAAAGTCTTGGAGACCTTGAAAAAGCAAATAAAAGGAAACAGAGAATGCAGGCCACTGAGCACAGCTCTGCAGTTGCACATCTGATTCTCTGCCTTGGCAATGTTAATGAACCTCAAATCCTCCCTATAATTAGATGAGGGAATTGCTTATATTTTCAAACAGATGATGCTGCTATAATGAAACGATTGACAGGGAACTTAAGAGTGTCTACAGTAGTCATTTGGTTTCCATTTTTTTTCCTTTCCCTTTTCCTTTTTTTTTTTTTTTTTTTTTTTTTTAAGTGTAAAAAGAAGATTGGCTGTAGATACAGGTCCTGGGAGAGGTAGTAATTTACACAGAATGCTATGACAGGTGTCTTTGTATAGCGCAGAAATAAAATGGAAGAGAGAGAAATGATGGGCAGGTACAGCAATTTTTGGGGAGGGGGTGTCCTGTGCT